CCGCGCGCGCACGTTTTCCTCTGCCGTGTGCTCGTTGACCACGCGCGCACGCAGGTTTGTCACTTGTGCACATCCTTGTGCGCTCACAGACACAGTTTGCTCCCTCTCAGTGCACAAATGACCTCTCGCCATGTATATTTCCGCTCGCGAGTCCCGTTCACACGCGCGCTGCCATGTATATTTTCGCTCGCGAGTCCCGTTCACACGCGCGCTGTGGACCCAATGCGCGTGCACGGGTTTTGACAGGGGTATGACGCGATAATACTGCTCCTTTAAGGATTCTGAGCTCTACATACTGTCTTAATTTCTAGAATGTCTATCAGCTGCTGGCTAGAAGACAACTTCCTTCAGTTAAACTCTGAAAAGACTGAATGTCTGATCATTGCCCCTGAGAGCATGGTTCCCCTCATTAGTCTATTTTTCAAGTCCAAGGTGCTGGCCCACCAGTCTGAAGTTGCAAGTGTGGTATTCTGGCAACAGGGGGTGGTGGGGGGTCTGAGTGACTTTTCATTAACCCTGTAAAGGGTCATTTTAGCAAATACTGGCTCAAGAAAATGATTTAGAAATATGAAAATTTGCATTGTATTCATTTAAACTCAGTAATTAAACAAGTACAAACATTTTTATATATATTATCTATATTATATATATATATATTATATATAATATATTTATATATATTATATTTATATGGGAAAAAAACAGTGCAAACTTTAAAAAAAAATAAGTTTTTAGTTTAGGTCAAAGGTAGCTTTCTAGCTCACTGTGCTGCAGACGCATCTCTGCAACATCACATTTCTGCAGTTTTGTTTCTCAAAAATCACTTGCATCAACTAAAAACAACCTGCCAGAGGATCTGAGAGAACCAGGTAGTACGAGGGACCAAAATGTTCATGAATACGTTCCGCTGTGCATTGCTTCAAACCTTAAATCACTGCATCAGCTCATAACTCGACAGTCACCGATGCCACAGCTGCCTATCAGAGGTGTTCTCTCATGTCTGGGTGCTCAGAAGCATGATGACGTAACCTGGGGATCAAAACATTTTCGTTGAACTCTCTGAACTCGCTAACAGGAATTCTTGAGAGCTGAATTTTGGTCAGATCAAAGAGCTCGGCTGTAGAAGAGCACATGTGTGGTGAACAGAACCACTGGGGAAAAGGTCAAAGGTCAAGCTCTGAAGCAGGTGGAGGCCTTCAGATACCTGCTTGAACATAAACAATCGCTAACAGTTCTTCTTTTCACAATGTCTCTTATCACCTATATGCAGATGACATTCAGCTGTACTGCTCCGCCTCCTGCTGTACTCTCAGGAACATTGCTAAGCTGAGTCCCATTCTGTCCCGCTCTGAACTTGAGACAGTTCTCCACACCTTCATCTCCTCACGCTTAGACTACTGTAACTCTCTTTTCACGTGTCTGAGCAGAACCTCCCTGAACCGTCTACAGGTGGTTCAGAATGCCTGTGCTCGGCTTCTGACCAAGTCCTCCAAACACACCCACATCACCCCGCTTCTCCTCCAGCTTCACTGGCTGCCAGTCAACTTCAGGGTTCATTTCAAGATCCTGGTTCTGGTCTATAGGGCCTTACATGGACAAGCACCACCATACATTGGTGATCTTCTCCGTCCCTACACCCCCAGCAGGTCTCTGAGGTTCAGTGACCAAAGCCTGCTGGTTGTGCAGCACCAGGCTAAAGGCCAAAGGTGACAGATCATTTGCTGCTGTGGCCCCCAGAATCTGGAAGTCTCTCCCCACGAGCCCGAGACCAGTGGGCTCAACTCTATTGTTCAAGCTGACTTTGGTGTGACCTTCATCACCTCCTTGTTCTGCTCTCCCCACCTATTCCACCTTCCTCGGGATCCACTGATTTCCCTCTTTCCTTTTCACTCTCTCTTTTTCTTTACATTTTTGATCACAATAGTCTATTTTTTGCCCATTTAAAATGTATTTTAATAATTTTCTATATAATTTTTTATATTTTACATTTTTTGTTTTTGTGAAGCGCCTCGTGATTTTTATCTTGAGAGGCGCTATGGAAAAGATCTTTTCTTCTTCTTCTTCTTCTTTAAGGATTCTGAGTTTTATAAACGATCTGAATTACTAGAGTGTCTATCAGCTATCACCAGTTGGCTAGAAGTAGGGCTGCACGATATTAGATATTAAGATAACTGTTATGGCCGATAACCGATACCGATATACTGACATTAATACTTCTAAAACCAGCAGATTTTGCATAGAATTAAAATGATTAAAGCTGAATTTACGTAATTATGTACGCACAACACACACATTTACGCTTCTGTGATGATTACAATCACTGTGACATGACTAAACAAATACACAACACCCCGCTCACCCTCTGAGACAGATAAACAAATGGAAATAAGATGAAAAAAATATTGGTTGTTAATGTCGGCCTGTTTTTTTTATCGGACCGATACCGATATGTTAAAAAATGACTAACATCGGCCAATACCGATATTGATGCCGTTATATTGTCCATCCCTAGAGTAGTTTAAAAAAACAAACAAATAAAAGGTTGTTTTGTCTATAAGCCTTCACCATTAACACGTTTCGGACTGAAAAGCAGCCAGATCATCCAATTGCCAGTCTCGCCAAAACCACGGCACATCCTCCATTCATCACACACTCACGTATTTATCAACAGAACACCACTGGTGTGAGAGGGTCTCTGCTCATTAATATTAGAGGAGGAGAAACATCAGCTGCTAGCCTGCTACCACTTCAACTTTAGGACAAACTACCAGAGTCCCAAAAAGAAAAACACCATTTGAAGTCACGAACAACAAAAGACGTTTGGACCTGGAAAATGGCGACTGGTGTTAAGCACTATCTCGTGTCCTCTGGCAATGTGGGTTTCTGGTTCAAGTGGACATGGATCCAGGAAATATACCTGAGGGGAGGGGTGAGTGTTGCATGACCTTGTTTGTGTTCAAAACCTAGCTTGTTTGCAGATTCGCTATAGCAGCTTTAATAAATTAAAAAATCTCCTTTGGATGCACTGACAGTGCCACACTTTGGTGCTGCTGATAGTACTATCTGCTAGTAAGAAAACAGAATGTGAATAACTTGTGAATAACATATGAATATATATGTAATACGAATCTGGTAACGTTTATAAATAACTATAAAACCTGCAAGGAGATTTTAGAAATTTAAACTGTTTCAAAACAGCAGCAATACATTTTATTATTGACTGAGATCAGACTAGTCGCTAGCTTATCAGTCCTGTAGGATGGAAACACCATTTCTCTAAACTGAGGCCGTTCAGGAAACTTAATTATAACTTTTACACATAAACACACCTTAAAACATCCTTTAAGAACAGGCTCAGTTATTTCCTTTAACTTGTTGTATGCATAACTAACATGAAAACCCAACTCTTTCTTTGTAATTATCAGCACAAACTGTTTCTCTTTTTTTAACCAACGAGCTAATTAAACACATGAAAATCGAAAGAAACATTCCAATTGGAATGTGGTGAAAAGTGTTTTATTTTTTGTTTGGAAAATGTTCTTACAAGGCACTTCTGAAAAAAAAAACACAAAGTGGAACAAATACTTATCAGCTCAACTGGCAAAAACATTGCTGATTACATTGTGCTGATCATCAAAACTACACATCCTTGTGTGGACCCTCCTTTGACTTCCATTCTCCTTGGTGACTCCACTATGCCTAACCCATACCCTAACCCTAATCATAGCTGTTCTATTCCTAACCTTAACCAAAACCAAAAGTGTATTCACATCACACCTCAAAAACCATGTTTTAGGGTATTTTGTCCATGTGTGGACCAGCTAAGTGTCTCCACAATGTGGAAATTAGGGCTGCACGATATTAGGAAATCCTCCAATGCGCGATAACAGTGATTAATATTGAGATGACGATATGACTTGCAGTAAATAAACAAATACTTAACCCAACAACATAAAAAAAATCTAAAATAAATAAATTTTAAAATGACCACAAAAAAAATCAGGAAAAAGGGGAAAAGTAAAAATTGTTGTCAAAAGATGTGAGGAATGATTAAAAGAAAATGAACAAGAAAAAGCAATCAGTAGATCCGGAGAAAAGCAGACTGAAGCTAACTCAGGTGTTTGCTAGCCATCCAATTTAAGTGTTGTCTGCCTTGGGGGAAGGCATCTAACCTATAAGAACCCACCTGATTGGCCAAATGGGTGAAGAGCTCTATTTGATTTGTCAAAAACTTCATGCTTCCGTTTCACTGACAAATCACATTATGTGTAGCAAACACTTGAGCTGACCATTCATTGCATTGTTTTTTTCTGTTCTTCTGATATGCATACCATGCATGCCGATATCGTGATGACGATACATTTGCGATGTATTGTGGAACCCTTAGAGGGTTCAAAGGCTAAAACACTGGTTAAAAGTAAACATTTCCACTTGAGCAAAGACAAGTGCGCGCGCGCGCGCGCGCGCACACACACACACACACACACACACACACACACACACTAAAGTTCATTTCAACCAATCAGCTAGAAAAGTTATTTCAGTGCTAATTCAATTTAAGTCCTTTATAGTTTCTGAGTCTGGGATCTGGTCTGAGACTAATGGAGTTGAAAGGACTTGTGTGCCCGTTTGGTGTTTGAGAGAAGGAACTTTTTAATTATGACCAGCCATTTGCATAAACGTTCTGTTTTATGATGTGCTCTCCAAGCTAGAGATTAAAAACGTATTTTAGTTTTTCTGGGGGAATGAAATCCACTTCATGAAAGAAGTTTCTGCTGAGAATGAGTGGTGATCTACTGACTGCTAATGGTCTGTGACGTAAAGCAGACAGATAGGCTGCAAACAGAGGAGCATCTGTAAATACGGACCACACAATCCCACCATTGTGCTGTATTATATCTTCCTCTAAAGGACCGGCTTGTACACAGCAGTCTAACCACGGAGCAGTCTTGCACGCACGTGATTAACTTCTGAGGAATATAGTAGAATTTGTTGTTTACCTTTTTCAGGCGATTGTGCATGAGCGTGCGAAAAACTTGCCCCAGGATCAGACCGATCCCACAGACCAGCAGGAGGGCGCAGAGGGCCCCCACCGTGTAGATGGCGAAGGGTCTTCGACTCATGTCTGCAGGTGCAGGAAAGTTTAGAAAGAACGGATGGAGATGCTTATCTCCCTCAGCTGGACCGGATTTCTCTCTTTCTCTTAAAAAAACTCCAACAGAAATCCTCAAAGTTTCTCCTACATTTACTTTATTTACCTTAATAGAGAAAAAGAAACAAAAAGTTGAGCTAAAGCTAGTATTTGAAACAGTGACGCTGTGGTGCGTTCACGGTCCTCCCTAGGTATCAGGACTGCAGGCACCTTAAGAAGTTTGTTGAGAGGAAACAGACCATGAGCTCTCCGCTCGCTGTCAGCGGTGGCTCAGCGCACATGTGTGGAGGAGAAAAAAGCGCCACGGAGGCTTTGTAGTGGGTTGTAGGGTCTCTCCCGCCTCCTCAGGGGAGAGGGCGGTGATTGGCTGTTTCTGTGCGTCAGTGGGACGAGGGTCTCCCCCTTTCTTTAGCGCAACCGATGGTAACCCTAACGCCGGGGACACACCGGCCGCGGAAGCGCCGCGAAGCGCCGAGAAGCGAATCGCTCACGAAATTCGGCCGCTGCTCGCCGCTCCTCAGTTCAGATCAGACGCGCCCCAGTCGAGGCGCGCCTCGGCTCAGCTGTAGTTTTTCTTTTAAACACTTGGTGTCCTCCATTTCCTCTCTGCCTTTTCTCAGCTCTTTTCCTACGTTTGAGTGTTTGTGCGCGTGCGCGCGCGTGGGTGTGTGAACCTATGGTATGAGTTGTTTCTGCCAGTTGAATCTCTTGGAACCCGCTCCAATTCTGCAGCTGTATCCTAGCAGTTTCTTCCGACATGGGTACGTAAACAATCATGTTTTTCGGGGGTCGTACAGCTCCTTGTGTTTCTCAACTTCCATAATTAATTTAAAGTCATCCATCCTAACTGCTTGCCTCAGACTTTCTGCCTCTCTGTCCTGTTTGCTCCGGTGAAAAGACACCCAAAACCACTCCCCCCTTCACGTGGTCACACACGCACACAAGTTCGATGTGTGTGTATGTGTGTGCGTGTTCGTGTGGTTTTTCTGCAGTGTCTGTTTACGAACACATTTGACTATTGCGGAATTTTATTTTGAAATGCTTTATTTTGTTAACTTTACCGGCCTGCCTCTTATGTCTACGTTTGACTTCCTGCCAGAATTGACGCGATTCACCCGCGGCTCGCGAAAAAAATAGAGCCAACGCCGAAATGATCGCTGCACGGCGCGGGCTGGAGCGCCGGCGCGAGGCGATTCGCGGCGCTTCGGCGGCCCATGTGGTCTATAGAATAGCTTAACAAGGGCGCCGAATGAAGGCGGTCCCATTTTCGCGGCGCTTCGCGGCGCTTCCGCGGCCAGTGTGTCCCCGGCCTAACCCCCCCTCCCACCACCACCACCACCACCCCTCCCACCCCACCCCCATCCCCACCCACACACACTTCCCTGGTCGCAAGCAGTTTACTCACTGCTGCGACTGAATGAATCACATACAAAGGACCTGCTTTGTGTTTGATTCTGCAACTTCACAACTCACTCTCCCTTATCAAAATAGTTGTTGGTGGTGTTACTGAAAGAAAGAAGATAGATTTACAAAGGCTTCTGCAGAAGTTTAAAAAGTACTTTAGTACTTATGATTCCGGACTCTTAGTCCAATTCACAGAATCAGAAGTTTTTATTGTCATATGTGTGCCAAGTCACAACATTAAGAAATTGCTGCGGTATGTTGGTGCAGAAGGTAAGAAAGAAAAAAAAAGAAAAAAATTAATTAAGAGATAAGCAATATAAGAACTAATAAAACACTCATGATAAAATTATTAATGTAAAAAGTGGCAGGAATTAGAGAAGCAGCTATCTACCCCATGTAGGTACTAATCTGAGTGCACAGGTACAGTCTACAGAAGTAGAAAGACGTACAGATAAGACAAAATGAAATGAGCACAATACGACACGCTAAAGCTTGAGACAAAATAATCATGAGAATAAGCACGAAAAACAATGTGATAACCTCAGCAACATAAGTTTTAGTGTGAGGCTGGATGATTTTGCCTCTGAAGCCTCCTCTCTGCCCTGTGGTGTTCCCCAAGGCTCTATTTTAGTACCTTTGCTTTTTAATCTTTACATTCTTCCTCTGGCAGCTATTTTAGGCAACATGGCATGTCTAATCATTTGTATGCTGATGACTGCCAATTTTATGTTTCATTAAAACCTCAAGAGTCAGTGCAACTGGCTGTGGATTGCCTGAATGAAGTGAAGGACTGGCTTTATAATAACTTTTTACATTTGAATAAGTCTAAATTGGAGGCTCTTTTATTTGTTCCTCCCTCTCCCACTGCAGTTAGTCCTGTCCTGCCACCCTGTTTTCGCAGCTCAGCGAAACCAGCCATCACTAACCTGGGGGTGGTTTTGGACCCAGAGCTGCGGATGGACTCCCACATTAGCCAGGTGGTTAGATCTTGTTTTTTCGAGCGTCGCCGGCTATCAAAGATGAAGTCCATCCTGACTAGACGTGACCTGCACACATTGATCCATGCATTTGTGATCTCTTGCTGGGACCATGCAAAGTCCCTTTTTTATGGATCCACATCTTCCTTGGTTGCGTGTCTACAGCTGGTGCAGAATGCGGCGGTCCTCCTTTTGACTGACACCAGAAGGAGGGAGCACATTACTCCTGTTCTGACCCGCTGTACTGGCTCCCGGTGCGCTACCGCATCCATTTAAAAATGGTACTTCTTGTTTTTAAGTCACTCAATCTTTATGGGCCTCTCTACTTGACTCAGCTGGTTCAGCCTTACGTACCTGGTCGAATTCTTCGATCAGCTGAGCAGACCACTGCCTGTTACAGGTCCCAAGTGTTTGGGTGAGGACCAAGCCCCCACAATGCGGCTTTAAAATTGAGTCCAACCCGGAAGTAAGAAAAGTTGCAGTTCCACCCTCATCCGCTGGAGGCTGGTGTCAGAAGCAAGCAAATCCTCATTGACTCCCATGTTAAAAATACCAATTTCACAGCAGAAATAAACATGTTTACAGCCTGGTACCAAAACATGTTTTTGGTTTAAATGATCTAGTTTACATTCATGACAACTTTGAGGGGGGTGAATTTTTTTCTCACTCTTCTGTTTAAGTGTATTAAAAGCCTAAAATTCTGTATAATTAATGAGCATCAGACCCACATGACCACAGAGCTAGCTCCGTGGAAAGGCCTCAGTAGAGCCTCGGTCTGGCTTGGAAACTGTTCCGGGATTTTGAGTCTCTGTGTTTGTGTATTCTGTTTTGGATATTATTTGTGCAATTGTTGGACAAAATGACTTGCTGTGGTATTAATTGCACTAATAGAGCGTCCAAGGAGTCTCCACTTCATTTTTTTCAGTAAGTAAAATTATATTTATGTATTTTAGGTCACTGCCGAGCTGAGCTTAGATTTTAACATGTACTGTTTAACCATGAAATTTAAATGTAATAGGGTAAAACCCAGTGTATTTAACATAATGCTGCACTTTAGAAAATGGGTTGAAATATAACATGTTGGTGGAGCTGGGTTCTGACTATCGGCTTGTGGAGCTCTCAAGAGACCGATGTTTTCCACCCGGAATGCCGACTGTTTCTCCCCGCAGCCCGGTGCATCTCTGTCTGATCGCGGCTTCTGTTTGCTGCGGCGGGCTGACGGCTTGTGGAGCTCTGGGATGGAACCTTTCCACCCGGTTCTCCCCAGCGGCAGCTCTGCGCATCTCAGATCACAGCGGCACTTGTCTGCTGTGCGGCTGCCGGCTTGTGGAGCTCTCGGGAGACCTCTGTGTTCCACCCGGTTTTACCCAGCGGTCAGCCCGGCGTATCTCTGACTCAGAAGCTCTGGTGTTGTGCACAATTAACTCCGGTTGTAGCTAGGTTGCTAACTCCGTTAGCTTAGCTCCCAACTCCGCATTAGCTTTGGGTTAGCTTCAGGTTAGCTTGTAGCTAGTTCGACCGGGTGTCATCAGTTGATCCCAGCCTTACAGCCCCACCCTCAGCTCCTCCTCTCTTCCCTTTTATGGAATTGTCTGGGCTTGACGGAACCTGTGACACGGTCAAAATGGCGGTGGTTTCCACCTCCCATTTGGGATCAAAAATGTGATATTGGAGCCTATGGAAATTTATTGTCCAGTATATATGTCGATGGTGAGGACGCGAGGAGAACGAGCGTTCTCAATCTGTGTGCCTCGTCTCTGGAACCAACTCCCCCTAGCAGTGAGAATGGCCCCCCCTCTCTCTGATTTTAAGGGCTCATTTTTATTCCTTGGCTTTTACTTCTGCCTAGCTGGCATTTTATGATGTTTTTTGTTTTATTTTTCTCGTTTTTATAGTAGTTACTGTACTACTTTTTATTACTTTTTCCCGTGGGTTGATTCTTTGCTCTTTTACTGTACAGCACTTTGGTTGGCCTCGGCCGTGTAGAAATGTGCTTTGTAAATAAAATGGAATGGAATAACAGTAGTATAAAAAATCTTGGGGTCTTGTTCACGAGTGAGGGTAGGAGGGATCGGGAGATCGACAGGCGGATTGGTTCAGCATCTGCAGTGATGCGGACGCTGAGCCGATCTGTCGTGGTGAAGAGGGAGCTGAGCCAGAAAGCCAGGCTCTCGATTTACCGGTCGATCTATGTCCCAATCCTCACCTATGGTCATGAGCTTTGGGTAATGACTGAAAGAACGAGATCGCGGATACAAGCGGCCGAAATGAGTTTCCTCCGTAGGGTGGCCGGGCTCAGCCTTAGAGATAGGGTGAGGAGCTCGGACATTCGGGAGGGACTCGGAGTAGAACCGCTGCCCCTCCGGATCGAAAGGAGTCAGTTGAGGTGGTTTGGGCATCTGGTCAGGATGCCTCCTGGACGCCTCCCCGGGGAGGTGTTTCGGGCATGTCCTGCCGGCAGGAGACCCCCGGGTCGACCCAGGACACGTTGGAGAGGTTACATCTCCAATCCGGTCCGGGAACGCCTTGGGGTTCTGCCGGAGGAGCTGGTGGAGAAGGCCGGGGAGAGGACGGTCTGGAGCTTCCTAGTTGGGAATCAGAATCAGAATCAGAAAAACTTTATTCATCCCCGAGGGGCAATAAAAAAAAATAACAGCAGAGCAGCATGATGTTGGACATAGAAACATTGAATAAATAGGCAATAAGGAAGTAATAAAGCAGCAAGAAAATGGATAAAACAGTAAAATATGCAAAAACACTGAGTAAGTGAATAAAATGACTAAATTGTCGTCTGTATAAAAGTTAAATATATGGAGAGCCCAAGGAGAGGGTTTATCGGGGGATGGTCTCATCTCATCTGCTGGAGTTAAAGAGCAGAATTGCTTTGGGGACAAAGGTGGCTCTTCTCCTCTCAGTCTT